TTCTTGATGAGTACTTGATATACTTTTTCAATTGTAATATGTAAAAAGAGTGATTATTTTTTGACTAAGAAGTCAATCTATCTGCATGATTCTTGATCAATTATCCTTGTTCTTTTGCTGACATAGATTTATCATTGTATCGATCTTTTGCTTTATTGAAAGACAAAAACAAATATCTCTTGTTGGTTATATTAAGCCAGCTTGTGTAATATTCACTATTAATCCATGATCATCAAGCAATGTTTGAAATTCTTTAAGAATAGTTGGATTTTGTCAATTATCGCCCGCTTAAGAATATAACCAACATTGATTTTCAAAAGATATCAAAATGTCTTCTTGTTGTTCAACATGAAAATCAACAATAAAACCCTCAGTATTAACTCGAAGAGGACTTTAGTTCTTTGTAAGAGATACGTTGAATGGCGCATGATTTTCAGACTATGCTTCGAAAAAATAAGCACCGATTGATTTGAAATGATTGACATTGATAGGCCAATTCGTACCATTATGCTTTAAGAATCCATTGTTATCTTGGAAGAATGATAAGAGCTATGAATCATGGGCACCGTAAAGGATGAATGTGATTAATTAACTGAAGATCTTGACAGCTTTTTCAAGATCTCATCAGAGTTCAGTTACTGGGGTGAACAGAGGAAAGAATAAATGTTAGTATCATATGAAAGTGATATGATTCAAAAAATGACTTGACTTGTCACTGATTTAGATCCTTTATCTTTACCCTGTTCATCTTTTATCTGTCCCAGTGATCAAAACCAATATGCATTATTGTATATTTCATCCTTATTTCATGGATTTATTTACAGCTAATTGTCAAGTGAGTTTGGCTTATGTTTATAGTTTAATGAACCATTCATCTTCGACCGAAAGACTAACGATCTGACATACCATTCTGGAGCTAATTCCGATAAATCATAGATACTATCTGGAAATGCTGCAGCATGTTCACAGCATAAGATGAAATGAATAAGTAATGGAAAGCAATCTAAGATCTTTCCAATTTGATCAACTGAATAATAAATAGAAAGCCATGAGCTTGAATGTTCATCAGCATGTAATGCCAATGGTTTCAATATGGGTGTGGGTGTGGATGCGTTTCGATTGAGTAGTGATACTCATTCCAACACCCACAATCCAATGATACCCATCATATAAAAAAAATAATTGATTAATTTTTATACATAAAGGAACTATATGAAAAGAGCCTTTTGGGACACCCTGTAATTTCATTAAAGCCTACAGACATTTACATCCGCGGCGCATACATCGAAACCAGCACCTAAAATCCACACCCACACCTACACCGTCTCACGGTATAAATATAAAACTTGCGTCTTGTGTGCAGCTTTCGGTATTTTTCTTCGATGGAATTGGCAAACATTAAATAAAATACTTTTTTCGTTCTTTTATATTTCTTCTTTTTCAGTTTATCAACTTCACTTATGCACGTTTCTCTTTTCTTTCATAACCACATGCACGATAAGACTTTTTTGATTTTACACATCGTTTTTTTCATCGCTTCACAACAGAAGTCTTTTGTGTTTTTCTTCCTATAATATGTTCGTCACTCAAAACTTATCGTAGTATACTCATTTCAGCATCGTTTTGTAATCTCTAAAGCATTATTTCATATATTTATGATTGAAAAATTCTATTTTAGTAACTTTTAGATTTATTTTTTCTTCGACATTCTGTTAGTAATATGCTCTCCAGAGTGCATGATGTTCTACATGAGCATCTTCGTAGGATGTTACCTATTGAAGGGTACCAAGATGCACCTTTAATGCCATTGGAAGAAGCAGTTAAGCCTATTAATCATTTATTTGATGGAGATGGTTTAGCAGGAAAAATATGGACATTAAAAGGCCGATGCAAAACTCCTGCTGATGGCTTATCACCAGATGAGTCTGCTTCGATTATGCTCTATACCGTAGAATGGGCTACAGCTGAAAAAAGTTTATATTACATTTTGAACAAAACTCTACGTATCGAAGATCGCAAAATGTTAAGACCATGGTTTCCTTATTTGAGATTATTTATCGGTGCACTGCTACGACTTCCTCCAATTCATGGTGCTGTTTATCGTGGTGTTAAAAATGATATAAGTGCTGATTATCCACTACAAACCGAGCAAATTTGGTGGGGTTTTAGTTCATGTACGGATGGTGTTGGCGTTCTTGAATCTGAGCAATTTTGTGGTACGAGTGGTAGTCGAACGATGTTTCACATAACATGTTTTGATGGTCGAAATATTAGAAATCATAGTTTTTATCATAGTGAAAACGAAATTTTATTACTGCCAGGTCGATATTTACAAGTACATAGCTGTTATAGAGCTGATGATGGATTACGTATCATACAACTCGATGAAATCAAGCCTCCATATGAACTTCTCAAACTTCCTTATAATAGCCCTTGGCGCTGTATAAAACCTGAAATTGCTTTACCTGATAATAGTCCTTGGCGTCATATAGCACCTGGGATTTCTCTTCTTGGTACATGTACCAATCCTACTTGTCAAGCTTTCCAGCAAGAAGTGATTATTCCTATAGGTTATCGAAAATTTAACGTACTCGCAGATGCTGATTCATCTAGTATCAAATGTCCAGTATGTGAAAAGTATGTTGATATAACAAAATTAGGTTTCAATGAATGTCGATGGCGAATAAACGGTATCGTGCAACCACAAAATTTGCAAGCACCAATTCCGTTCTCCGAGAACTGGTCAGATACACGTGGAGATTCACTAAAGGAATTTAACTTACAAGAATTTATTTGGAGAAAACTGATAGTCGAAGCAGAACCATAAGATTCTGATTGATTGTAATCAATATGATCATGAAAATAAATTAAAGACGTTCTATCTGCTTTCTAGAAAAAAGAGACTGTATTTGAAAAGCACATTATAGGATCGTTAAACTTGAATTTCTTTATAAACATGTATTAAATAGCAATTCATTGTAGAAATTTGGTTTAAATATTCTTTATGATTTAGACATACAGCTTATCGTTGTATTAATAAAAATAAACAAAAAATACCTAGGATATGGGCGTGAATTCGTTCAATAAAACAAATACGCACAACATTTCTACACCCGACCCCTACAATATATATTTCTTAGTCCTTATTACATATCTAGATATCGGCTTGTCACGACATGAATATAAGTTTTGCTGTTTATTCGAATGTTTTCAGAATAAATGTATCAAGTTCTATCCACCGTTTATAGTCACATTGATATACACA